GTCATTGGATTACAATTCCCATCAAGGACAGAATTATGTACTTAGGTGCTATGGGAAGACTTTTCTGTATGCTGCAAATGTATGTTGCTCTCATTGGTTGATAATAAAAGCCAATTTGGCCTATAGCTTGGCAGAATAAGGCTGGGCAGGAAAGCCAAATGGGCAGGAAGAGGAAGGGCAGAGTCAGGAGATGCCCGCCAGCCACCAAGCAAACAGGACATGTAGAAAATGAGATAACAAGCCATGAGCTAAACATAGCTAAGAATTATGGGTTAATTTAAGTGTAAGAGTTAATAACAAGCTAATGGCCAAACATTTATAATTAATATAAGCCTCTGTATGATAATTTGGGAAGTGACCACATAACGGGGCGCAACAGAGAAAGCTTTCATTTACACCTAGGTGTCTTTGAACTCTTCCCCACTTGGACCGCAGTGGCCATGGACATTGTAGAGTGAGGTAGGTGTTTGCTGCTTTGAGCACAGATGTCCCAAAGTCACTTCTCTCCTCCCACGTCAGTCCATCTCCTCCCGTCTCTTCTCTTGGTCCAGTCTCACTTCTGTCCATCACCTCGGTATCTTATGTACACCTATGGCTGTCCATTCCTCTTACAAGTGGATGGCCCCTAAAACTACCTTCAGCTTTGATCACCACTGTCAATCCACCCACTCCCTCTTCCGGCAGCCCCTCAGTGTCCCCTCTTTCTATCTGAGATGGGGCTGTTACACCTTCACTTTGTGAAGGGAAGAGATGTCTATTTGGTTCAAGTTGCTGCAACAAAGTATCATAGATTGAAATGTGTCATAGATTGAAATGTGTTAACAACAGGCATTTATTTCTCACAGTTCCAGAGCCTAGAAGGTCAGGTTAAAAATGTTTACAGAATGGAGACTCTTTCCTGCACAAAGGACCTCTTTCTCCATACATTCTTCCTCAAAGCAGGCAAGCTCTGACCACTTGGTCTTACTGCTTCTTATAAAGGATCTAATCCCATCACAGGGTATAACTCTTATGATCTCACATAACCAATAACGTGCCCAAACTTCCACTTCCTAATATATTCATGTTGTGATTTGAGACTTTTACACAAGAATTTAGGAGAACCACAAAGATTCAGTCCGTTAACACACTGCGAATTTCTCCATTATCACTGGATCCTCAAGCTAGGCACCCAAGATTTATCGCCCATTTTCTCCCTGCATCCTCTCCTCCCTCCCTTCTTCTCTGTCTTCCTCCTCTCCCTCTCTCTTCTCCCATTTCTCCCCATCTCTTCATCATTCTGGTTTCTAAAATCTCTTGTCCACTTTTCTGTGTGCTCGTGACTGTGGCCTGTTTTCACTCTCCCTGGGACATGCTTGGTCATAACTATCAAGCTGGTCTCTTTACCTCTAGTTTTCCAATCCTTCCTCTACACAGAAGCCACGACGGGAGACCTAACGAAGTCTTCTGCTGCGGAGCCTTCACCAGCCCCTGCCTGCCCCCCGTAACTCTAGCACAAACTCGGAATTCTTGAGTGTAATTTTCAAGCTTTGCATGCTCATTCTGCCGACTCCCTGCGTTCACTTCTGCCCAAGACCTTACACAAAACATGCTCTGTTGTCTCTGCTCCAGAGAGCTGGCTGTCCATGACAAATTGTCACTCCTGGGAAAACCCTTTCTGTTTCTCCATTGGTCTCCTCCTTCACGCCATCAGCTAACCTTGGCTTCCTAGGAAAAAAATCCACCTAGATTCCAGGGTGTAGCTAGAGTTTTCCGGCCTTGCCCACAGTCAGGACAAATCTCTGTCACCCGCCAGTCCCACAGCCGCTCAGACCCAACCAAGTAAATACAGAGACTTATATTGCTTACAAACTGTATGGCCATGGCAGGCTTCTTGCTAACTGTGCTTATATCTTAAAGTAACGCATTTCTACAAATCTATACCTTGCCACGCGGCTCGTGGCTTACCAGCATCTTCACATGCTGCTTGTCCTGGCAGTGGCTGGCAGCGTCTCCTTCTGCCTTCCTGTTCTTTTATTTCTCCTCTATTAGTACCACCTATACTTCCTGCCTAGCCACGACCAATCAGGTTTTATTTATTGACCAATCAGAGCAACTTGACATACAGACCATCCCCCAGTACAGCCAAGTGCAGACCATCTCAGACACCTGCACTCAGGCCCATGGTCCTAATCATCCTCTATGCAAACCTGCTGGGTAACGCCACAAGGAACCCAAGAAGGGCTCCCACAGGACATACATTAACATCCCACAGCACCAGGGTCCTAAAGGAGATGGGGTAGGCCTTTTTCTTCATGCTATGGGTTCCAGAGAAGGAGCAAGGTCATCTGGTCTTAAAAAAACAAAACAGGGCTACGGGCCATCCTTTGCCTCAATGGACCATGGAGAAGGAACAAGATCATTGAGGCAAAGGCTGAGGAAGGGTAGGGAGAGAGAAGAGGCAGCGAGGAAGAGGGGCAGAGCGGAAGAAGGGCAGCGGAGGGGGGGGGCTCTGGGTGGAAGGCAGCCCTTCAGTGGGAAGGGCTGTGGCACCCCAGGTCATGGCCGTCTAAGCAGGGTCATGGCTGCCTGGCCTGGTGGGGGTGGTTAAGTAGGTTCTCTGTAGTTTTTTTCTGTTCCAGCAGAAGTGGCACCAACACAGGCATACTCTCCTCAGGCAGGAGGACACTTGACGTCCTCTCAGACGCTGGACACTTGCTCTGAAAGTGCTCTGAACCCGGGATTCATGAGTCACCACACAGAACACACAAGTTTCTCCAACATGGTTGCTGTAGGCTAGCGGCCCACTACCAGTCACTCCCTCTCCACCTAAGTTCAAGACAGCATACTTCACGCAAGATGTAACATCTTGCTGTCATTGAAGCCGATCTTGTTGATTGATTCTGAGACAGTGCTGGTGACCAGAAAAATTCTCCATGCCCTGTGGCTTTTCCTAGAATCAAGGTCCTAAAACAAAGAAAATGTTCCCGGGAAGTCCTATCTCCTTGGTACAGTTAGAAGCACCACCCAGTTCTCCAGACCCATAGACCCCTATACTTTGATCATTTCTTTCTCTGTCCTGGTAGCTTGGTAGGTACTTGTCTCTTTGAAGGTGGGGACTCTGTATGACCCTCACAATGGTGTATTTATAATGCCTGTGACACAATATAGGCTTAGTAAATCCTGGCTGGAGAAGTTCTTACAGATAAAGTATTCTGGGGGAAAGGAGATCTCTGCTTCTTTCTGCATTGAGTCTGTCTGCTGATTTTGGTTATAGAATATAAATTATTTTTCAAGGCCACTTCCAGATCTCTGGGCTAATAGAAATGATAGAATGAAGGTTGTCATTTTTACCAATGGCACGCAGGAGGGCTGGACACAAAGGGAGGAGCCCCTGTAACCAGGATAACCTTGCAAGTGGGGCCAGAAACAAGCCTGAAGTCGCTTGATCAGTTTCTGTCCCGTGACCTCAGGTGTCGCCCCTAATTAGGTGTGCCAAATCTCAGTTGTTCATGTCCCTGGGGTCCTGGGAGACTTTGTGAATGGCGCCCATTGTGAGGTGCCCTCTTGGCATCCTCTGTTTAGAATATAAATCTTGTCTCTTCTCCCCAAGCCATTACCCACCACACTCCAACCTTTGCATGGCCTTGTGCTCCACAGACCACCAGGATGACACTCAATAAATCATTCCACAAGATCTAGAACAGCAGAGAAACACCTCATCCACAACTACCTCACCACTCCTTGCTGTAGGGTGCATTGGGTGAGCTAACTGAGGCAGTGCTGGAGAGTTCACCCGGGTAGTGAGGATAAGGGAGAGCTGGCAGACTGACCAACCAAGCTGTCACCCATGCCCAGAACCAGGGCTGAGTTGGCTCACCTCAACATCCACTCAATCTATGAACTGTCGGAGCAAGTGAAGGGGATGAACCTACAGATCCAAACCAGCAGGATCTCCATGACTCGGGAGATCACCAGGATATCCAAGAGGAGCCCCATTGAAAGCCTGTTATTGGTGGTGGAGCAGAAATGCCAGATCAATGACTTAGGGCCATGAACACTCACAAGTAAAGATGAATGGACTAAAGGGCTATTGATTTACTGTCCAATAGTACATGTTGATAGTCAATCTCATTGCGGATGGAGGAACTTCAAACTGATTGCATATAGCTCCTCATATTGTCAACTTTGTCCAACCATCATAGACTAAGCTATGTAATTGTAAAACCAGAACTGAGATTTTCCTCTTTCTTTTGAAAATTTTGACCTATAAATTCACAGAAAATCTGTATTCCTTAAAGACATAAGGAGTTATTTTTTTTCACATAACAAGAAATTCAGAAATAAGCACATTGGGGTCTAAACAATAACCCTGAGGCCCCCTCCAGGGACACAGGTGCCTTTTCTTTTCCAGTGCCTCCATTTTCAGCCGCGACATTCACTCTCCGCCATGGGAGGGGGCAGTGCTACCGTCAAGGTCCACATCTGTGTGCTAGGCTAGAGGAAAGCTGAGAGCCAAAGGCTTTCATTGAGGTTTTGATCGTGGCTTCAGGCATTCAAGGCGTGAAGCTGGCCAGACTTGCATGAGCGGGTGATTCAGGCTAGAGAACCAAGTACCTCAAGTTGAGGAGGAATGCTTGTGAGAGGTTGGTTATGAATGGTTTTTAAGTGAGCCAAACTATTTGAGGTTCTCTGCCCTCTGGCCCTCCTCTACATATTGGAAGTCCAGTGAATGCTGGGCTCTGGAAATATATGCATGTATTTACATAGCGAGGTGTGTGTGTGTGTGTGTGTGTGTGTGTGTGTGTGTGTGTGTGTGTGTGCGCACACACACAAATGCACACTGAAATATTATTTAGCCTTAAAAGGAAAAGAATTCCATCATTTGCAACATGAAGGAATCTGGAAGACACTATATGCCAAGTGAAATGAGACAGGAAAAGAAAGCGAAATACTACATGATCACACACAAAGAACTAAAAATGCCAATTTAATTCGTTTTCCTGTATGTTATACTTTTGTATGCTTTGTGGTTTTGTTTATGTTTTTGTTGTTTGGTTTGGTAACCCACTCTATTTAATAAGTGTTGCTTGCATGAACAGGAATCAGAGGCTATTAACTTGACTGAAGACAATGGATCAGTGTCTATATCACTGAGGAATGTGATTCCCTACTCCCCCTCAAGAAATCATTAACTGCCTATAGTTCCTTAGGAAAAGATGGAACTTTATGAGCCCCACCCTCCAGTCATGGTGAGATTTGATGGGCCAGGTCTTGTACAGGTTTTGTACTGGTAGCCACCTGGTACTGTGAGTTCCTAAGTTTACAGTCATGTCATGTTCAGAACATGGTATTTTACAGCACCCCATTTCATCCTCTGGCTCTTACATTCTTTTAGCCTAATGTTCTGAAATGCTCCCTGGTCTCGGAGAGGGTGATAGAGACTGTCCAAGTTGGGGGCAGGACATCCCTCAGGCGCTTGTTCTCAGCACATTGACCAGTTGTGGGTCAATGTGTTAGCTGTGATCCACGGCAAGCAGAAGAAGCTTCTCTGGCCAGCACCAGTCTGTGAATGTAAGCAGAAATATTTAAATGGCAGTTTGATACCATGTCCATTTAGCAAATCAACAGTAGTAGGCTCCCTCTTAAGGCCAATGGCCTCCCCAGGCACAGGATTTCATCAGGTTTATTGTACCAGGGATGATCCCTCCTGTGGAATGGGCCTAAAATACAACTGGAAATCCGTTGGTTATTATTCTGATGATAGTCCATTGCACCTGTGCACGTATCTTGAGACCATTTATGGTTTGTTGCCGGTTAACATCACTGATGCCTTTTCTTCCCTAGAAGCCTAAACAACATCTTCCAGCTTTAGGAAAGATTGCCAGCAGGAAGAAAGAGTTCAGCTTCGTTTCTCTACGTCTTACAGTCGAAATGTGTGGTGTCTTCAATGGCAGGCTAAAACTGTCAGGTTTATCGAAACATGGTCAGAGTGTAACAGGTTTCTACTAAAGGGATGAAAGTTTCCAGAGAGTTAATTTAGGGCAGGGTGACTATAATTAATAAAACTGCATTTTGCGTGTGAGATTTGTCAAGAGGGAAAGTGTTCTTATCACACACACGCAAAAGGTGACTATTAGAAGTAATAATTGGCTGGATTGTGATTTTCAGTTCCTATGGTTATGTATATGAAAACATCACCTCACAGACCTTAGAAATACACGTTACTTATAAAATAAGTGGCTATGAAATTTAAAAACACTCTCAGAAAGAGAAACCACATATTCCCTCTCATATGCAGAATCTAGTCAATAAGATATGTAATGTGTTGACAAATACACATGTGAGTATAGGATAACTTGAAGAAAGGAGAAGAAGGCAGGCTGATAGGAGAGGATGAGGAAGGACTGAATGTAGACAATGGACATTCATTACAAAAGGATAAAAAGCTAATTGTTTCTCTAGTTCTAATACTGTCATGGATTTTTGTTGTTCTGGGAGTGGAAAAGTACAGAAAATATAATCAATATCGAAAGTGTAAAATTTAATATAAAGCTTCACAGTTTCTGTTTTTAGTGGTAACTCTAACTTGATATAAGTTACTTAGGTTGTATAGACTTGGGGGCTGGTTAATTTTGGTGTGTGATGTTTGTATTTATTTGCGGGGTTTTTTAATAGCGAAGTTTACAAAAAGTTTATAATGATACAGTTAATTTCTTAAGTATCTCAAGTACTAAAGGTTTAGAAGTTTCTAAGAATGGACTTATCACAATGCATATCAAAAGATCCCCAGATTAATAATCTCTAGCCGTAGGGCAGGTATATAAATACACGCACGCACGCACGCGCGCGCATGCACACACACAGTCATATGTCAGGTTGTTCTGACTTCCTCATATTAAATTTAACCTCCACAATGAAGTCTCTATCTAAATTGACTCACCAATATTCTAAGCTGAGCCCAGGGGCAACATGCTAGAATGGTCCTAGGTGAGATTTGCAACTAAAGGAAAATTCAAAATATTTCCTTCATGTTACATGGAAAATTGTCAAGATCATAGATGCCAGGCTGAAAGACAAAACAAAGGAAAAAAACTAATCAGGAAATGAGGAAGCTCATACTGGAGCAAATTCATTTATCTTGATGACTCATCCAAAATGTACTGAGGCTTCACATTTAACAGTCTTTTTCTTGAAAATTCTAAATGCCATCTGTCCCCTGCAGATGAGTTCATGTTAGTGTTAGAGCCTTAAAGTTCACAGTTCCTAATTCTTTTGTTTGGAAATAAATAACCCTTATGTTGAATGGCACAGACCTGGGAATGTAGTTTCTTTGCCCAGTTGGGAGGAATACACAGAACAATTCCAAAACAGAGCTCTCAAGTTGTGGAATGTTCTATGGGTCCAGAAAGGTTGACTCTGTGGACAAGCTGCCTCCACTGTGGCTCCCTGGGATTCTTTGGAGAATTATGCTGCTTGCCTCTCTAGACAGATCCTCATTCTCCCTCAGAGCTGAGCCCACATGCAGTGCTGAAAGGGGAAATACCTGTCCAACCTAATCACCACTCCAGGAAAGTGGTTCCAGAGAGCCTAAGTGCAAGTCCTTCTGTTCCTTCCTACCTCCTCTCTTCAACAATACTTTTGTTTTTAAGTAGAAAAATGCTGTTTGGTTTATGTAAGAATATTTGATCTTGTACATCTTGGGTATTTGTAGCAGGCATCTTAAAGGTACTTATTAATAAAAACAAACCTGAGGCCAGTTATTGGGGTGAACACTGGAAGATCAGAGAGACAGAACAAGCCACAGCTAACCTCACCTGGCCAACTTCTCAGCTGGTCTTGTTTCCTCAAACTGGAAGCCTCTGTGTCCTCATATCTGAATGGCTCTCAGCTGAACTGTGCTGCTCAAAACCTAAAAGCTTAACCAGCCAAAAGCTTAACCAGCCAAATGCTTCTAGTTTTTGGTCCTCATGTCTTATATACCTTTCTGCCTTCTACCATCACTCCCTGGGATTAAAGGCATGAGTCATCATGCTTGGCTGTATCCTTGAACAGATGGATTTCTGCCTCTGGAATGCTAGGATTAAAGGCATGTGCTACCACTGCCTATCCTCTATGTTTAATATTGTGGCTGTTCTGTCTCTGACCCCAGATAAGTTTATTAGGGTGCACAATATTTTGGGGAACACAATACCACCACAAGTATTTCAATGAGGAAAAGAGAGCAAATCCTCTAACAATCTTTGTAGAATGTGAGAAGGATAAGGGACAGGGCAGGGAGTGGGTTTCTATGCCTTGGACATGCTGTGGACCAAACTATGTATGTCAAGTTAGATCATGAACACAGTGAGATAAACACTAGATATAATCCTGAAATTTGATTCCCTTCTGAGCCCATCCACCAGCTAAGGATGGGAAGAGACCTCATTGCTTGGGATCCATTTCCTCATCTTCAAACAATGGGGTAGGGCTAAGATGGATCCAAGTCATAAACAGATTTTATCTGTTTTATCTGCATTAGAGGCTCTAGAAGAATCTTTGGGGGTACAGATATTCATGTCACGTGATGGCCAGGTTGGCAGTCCCAAGGAATGGATTCCAAGATCCTGTAGTATTTTACCTTGTTCTGGGTTTTCCTCACTTAAATTCTCAGCATTCTCAGCCTTTCCAAGTTGAGCTGCACGCATCCTGTTGATTTTCGCTCCTGCTTTCTCATGCATGGGTCTTCACTTTTCTGTAAATACCTGTGATATTTCTGCCCTCTTTGGTTCACATGACTGTGTCTGCTCTGCCTTATGCTACTGCCTGCCCAAACCCCACCCCACTCCCTAGCCACAACAGTCGTTTTCACCATGTCCTTCAGAATGTCCTCTGGTTAGTTCTCCTGAAGAAGTCAATGTGATTTATGTTCCTGTAATGAAGAATTTCTGACATATTGGACCTGATTCTCCTTGTTTGGGGTGGGGTGGGAAGATCATCCTGTTCAGAGCAGGATGGGTAGCAGCATTTCTGCCCTCTACCTACTAGATGGCAGAATGATCTACCTTCTATTACACAGTGACAGTTGAAGATGCCTCCAGAGTTTCCAAATGTCTCCTTGTGGGGCAAAATCAGCTGTGGCTGAGGATACCTGTTCTAATGCTCTGTTCTACTCGTGGTGTGATGGATTCCATGCCAGGAACACTTGAGTTTGGATCTGGCTCTGTCATTTCTTACTCTGATATTTAAGGATTCACCCACTCTCTGAGCTCTGGCTTCTTGTGTGTACTGTAAGGGGAAAGCTGTACGCACACGGTACACTACACACAGTACAGAAAGAAAGGCTAACAGAGCATCATTCACTCCTGGCCTTATTTAGGGTTTCTATTGCTGTAGTAAAACACTATAACCAAAAGGAACTTGGGGACAAAAAGCTTCATTTCATCTTGCAAACCTGGGGATGAAAAGCTTTATTTCATCTTGCAAACCTGTAGTCCATCTTCCAGAGAAGTCAGGGCAGGAATTCAAGGCATTAATTTGGCACAGGAACTGGTACATTGGCCATGGAGGTGTGCTGCTTCTTGGCTTGTTCCTTATTGCTTACTCAGCCTGCCTTCTTCTATGACCCAGGACCACCTTCCCGGGAGTGGCACTGCCCTCAGTGGGCTGGGGCCTCCCACATCAATCATTCATCAAGAAAATGCCCTACAGACTTGCCTATAGGCAATCTGATGGAGGTTATTTTCTTAATTGAAGTTTCTCTCCTCAGGTAACTCTAACTTGTGTAAGGCTGACAGAAAAACCTATATGAGACATGGCTTTTAGGAAGGGCTTTCTAGAAGTCGGTTGCAGTGACAAAAGGAGCCATTTGTGAAAGAGAATTGCTTCTCAGGAAGGAACCGGATACTTAGCAAAGGTACCATCAAAAGAGTCATGTAGTCTGGTAGTTGCTTTTCTTGACGCTGTGGTCACACACCTGGTGGGAAGCAGTGTTCAGGAGGGCAGGTTTATTTTGACTTACAGTTGGAGAGGAAACAGTCCATTGTGGAGGGAAGGGCATGGCAGCAGGCTACTTGGAAACAGGGTGTACCACCGCGGCTTCCTCACATCCTGGTGGATCAGCAAGCAGAATGTAGACAGAAATAAAGGCCGTGTTATGAAACTTCAATTCCTACCCCCTACTCCCACCCCCCATGACTTACTTCCTCCAGCAAGAGACTCTGCTTCTTAAAGGTCCCATGATCTTTCAAAACATCCACGAGCTGGGGCCAAGTGTTTAAACACATGAGCCTATAGGGGGTATTTTATATTCAAACCATAACATAGAAGAACTATTATGCATCCTTCAATTCCCTAAGAATGCTGTCTACGTTACACAAATTAAATTAACCTGTGATGAAATGTAATCGCTGTAGAATGAGGAGTAGTTCTGAGGACACTTTGGTGCTTCGTGTCTAGTTGATATATGGCACAGCCCCAAGTTCTCTATGCCTGCTTATGGAGAGCAAAAGGTCCGTGACTCAGTGTTTAGAGAATGGTTTAATTAAACATGATGTTATTTGTCACCCAAGTCACCCACAGCTGTGGCATCCCTCCCACAGAGATGGAGTTGCCTTTTTTTACTCGGCTAAACTGCTTGCTGTATGGAGGGCCCAAGGGGAAGAGAACGGGGATTGCCCAAGGGGAAGAGAATGGGGGTCGATGGCTAAGGATTGGTAGTGCCCAGGATGAGCACTGTTGGTGTTGAGAGGTCCTTGAGTGAGTCTTGGTGAGGAGTATGACAGACAGGCGTATGCAAGTGGAGAGCAGCCGTGATGTGGTTCAGTGACCAGAAAAACAGTACAAAGAGCCAGTGTTGCAGAAATGATGCTGTATTGCCCAGGGCAGCCCTGGTAGCCAATGCAAATGGATATCCTTTAGTGTAACCTTCAGAATGAGACCTGTGGCAGACACTCTGAGGACTCTCCGAACATTTCTGGGGGCTAGTCTGCACCACGAGGACCTGCATCCATTGAAGATACAAGACAGAATATCATAGAATAACAGGAGAGGTAAGACCCAAGCTAGCACAAGGGACGTACTCACAGACGTCATGTTTCTACCAATCATGTTGGGGACTCTAAACAATTTGTAAAACATCCACTTTGGTATTTTCCTTTTGTTCTTTGAGATGATGCAGCTGTTCTGGACATTTCTAATCACCCTTGTCTACACAAGCTCTTTGAGAGAAATTCATACAAATACATTACTTCCAATGGGCTGATTGGCCCCTGGTGATCACTATGCCTATCAGGCAGATGAACCATATTTGTCGAATTTGTTTTAATCACTCATGCTAAGCAGAGTGACAATTGATGAAGTACAGTTTCACTTTCAGCCTCCCATACTGAAGCCACTACATAATCTCTAGTTTTCTTGGTGTTGATGTTTGCCTTTGGAAAAAATTAATGCCATCACACTTCAGTCTTCTGAATACCGACACGTCATTTACCGGAGAGGATTAGCTCAGCTTTATGCAAATACAATGATGTGTGACATGCTTGTCATTAGTGAAGCTGAGGCAGCGTTTCTGGATTTCAGATTTTAGGATGTATGGCAAGGCCGCACTTCCTGCTGCCCTTGTGACTGGGGTAGTACCATGTCTGCGACATTGGCCAATGAGTTCTGAGTGTTAGTGATGAGAATATAAAGCATTTAGCTGAGGGTAGGAAGCCGTTTAGAGCTCTTATCCTCTGCTACAGTGACCAATGAGGCTCCAGGCTGCATCTGCTTCCTCAGGTTCTAGCCTAAGAAGATGCGGTACAGAACTATGAGGGACATGCAGAAGATCTTATGGATGGTTCAGCCTACTTATTTCAGCCATGAATACCTGGAGGGACAAGAGTACCACTGCAACACATCCTTGGCCATACTGAGCGAGGCTTGTTAGAGTTTTCCCTTTAGTTTCCTTCTCAACAAAGCTTCAAAACAGCTCCATGTCCTTTAAAGAACCATTCAGAACCTCTTATTCTTACTCTCATTTATTTCAATTTCCGATGGCCACACAATTGTTCCCTAGATATTAGAAGGTCTGAAAAGTCTTCCCATCTCCGCACACATCCACATGGGAGATGGCATATTGTTTGAAGATGACACAGGCCCTGGAGTATATCCAGACCACCAGTTCAGAAACCTAGCAATTTGCATAATGATACTTTATTAGAGCACCATTGATTTTTATATACTTCTTACTCACTGGGATGCTAAATTTAATTCAAACTGCCTTGGTTTTTATTGCACCAGGAAGGGTCACAGGGCTGTTGATGGTAGAGATGTAGACTCCTTCCAGATCTTTTCTTCATTTGATATAGGTCCAAGGTCATGTTATAATGGGGGTGCCAGGCTAAGGTTCCTGCTGTCACATCCCAGACTTTAGTGAGGGGGATCATTACATTATAGTATTCAGATCATTAATGGTATATAATTTTTAAGCTGTTCCTTAATCCTCTCTTTCTAACTAACTAACTAACTAACTAACTAACTAACTAATGGGATAGTCTAATTTGATGTCTTAAACTTTAGTGAACAGTGTTGGGGATTGTGCTGGCTATTTTTATGTCAACTTTAGCTTGTGTCATCTCAGAGGAGGGAACCTCAATTGAGAAAATGCCTCCATGAGATGGGGCTGTGGGCAGGCCTGTAGGGCATTTTCTTAACTAGTGATTGATGGGGGATGGCCCAGCCATTGTGGGTGGTGTCATCCCTGGGCTGGTAGTCCTGGGTTCTATAAGAAAGCAGGCTGAGAAAGCCATGAGGAGCAAGCCAGTAAGCAGCACTCCTCCATGGCCTCTGCATCAGCTCCAGCCTCCAGTTTCCTGCCCTGTTTGAGTTCCTGTCCTGACTTCCTTCAGTGATGAACAGTGATATGGAAGTGTAAGTCAAATAAACCCTTTCTGCCTCAACTTGCTTTTGATAAGGATGTAGGTCAGCTGGTACAGTGCTTGCTTAGCATGCACAAAGCCTTGGATTTGGTTCCCAGAACCTTGTAGTTCATAAACTGGGAGTGGCGGTACACATCTGTGTTCCTAGACCTTGAGAGCTGGAAGAATCAGGAGTTTAAGATCATCTCAACCACATGATAGGGTCAAGAGACTCCCATGGCTACATAATGCTCCTCTAACGTTCAGAGATTACTTGCACTCAGTATCTGAGCTGACTTTTTTTGGCATTCTTTTTGAGTGTCAATAAGGTAATGTGATGTGAGCCCTGTCTTAGTTAGGCTTTCTACTGTTGTGAAGAGACACCATGACCATGGCAACTCTTATAAAGGAAAATATTTAATTGTGGTGGCTTTCTGAGAGTTTCATGGATTTAGTCCATTATCATCATGGCGGACTCGGCAGTGTACAGGCAGTCATGGTGCTGGAGAAGGAGCTGAGAGTTTCACATCAACAGGAAGTGACCTGCCTCACTGGGCGTGGCTTGAGCATATATGAAATCTCAAAGCCCTCCTCCAGAGTAACACACTTCCTCCAACAAGGCCCCACCTGTGCTAACAAGGCCATACCTCCCTAATAGCGACACGCCCTCTGGGGGTCATTTTCTTTCAAACCACCATAAGCCCCAGACTGAGTATGGTATGCAAGAGGGGTTCACTTTGGACACTGACAGAACAGAGGGATGCTGCCCCCAGAAGGTCTCTGTTCCAATTAGGACAATGCATTTGGACAGCTTATCACCTCTTTACGGGTCCACTGGATGGAATTGCTCATGGTCCTGCTAACCCTTGGCCTCCTCTGCCTCTCAGTTCGTTCCCAGCATCCCTTTTACTTGTAATTTTGCCAGCCCTTTTCTGTATCAACTGCCCTGATACATTAGTTACTGTCTCGGGTCCTTTTGCTAGTTGTGATAAAGTACTCCGACACAAGACACTTAAGAAGGAAGGGTTTGGTTCACAATTTGAAGTACAGTCCATCATGCTAGGGCCATCGAGGTGGCTGATCACAGTGCCCCCACAGTCAAGTAGTAGATAGCAATGAATGTTTGTGCTCCATTAATGGTCTCCTTTTTATGCAGTCTGGACCCAAATCCAGGGACGGATGCTGCCCACTTTTCCTGTGTGTTATCCCATGTCAACTAACCTAATCAATAAATGCCCTCACAGGCATATCCAGAGGCTAAATAGTCTCTGATGGTTTATCTTCTAGGTGATTCCAGATTGACAAGTTGACAACAATAACAGTCCCAACTATCTTCGTTGTCATGGAGACAGAGTACATGACAGAAACAACCTAAGAGAGAGTTGTTTAAGTGTATGGTTTCAAGGGATTTCAGTCCATCATGTAGGGAAGTTTGGCTATGGGCATGGCTCTGGCTCTATCTTTGGGAGTGTGAAAGTACTGGAATCGGGGCCACACTATCACCTCAGAGGCCCACCTCCAGTGATCCACCTCTGCTGGCAAATCTCTCCAGCGTCACCAACTGCACGCCAGGTATTTGAGTTTATGTGACTTTGGTGGAATGTTCAGATTCAAACCATAACATGTCACCTCTGTCTAATAGTAGAATGAGTGATAGATATTCTTACCTTCATTTTCTATCCAATATCAGAACAATATTAAATCCACACCCATTCATAGGCTAGAACTGCCTCTGACTCATTTATAGTAAAAGAGTATATATATATATATGTGTGTACATGCCTCTGTGTCATTATGGACATGTGTATGCAAAGGCTCACCAGGGCCAAAAGCAGGCATTAGATCCCCTAGAACTGGAATTACAGGTGGTTGTGAGCTGCCATGTGGGTGCTGGGAATTTAACCCAGGTCCTCTGCAAGAATGATATGATACTTACTCTTACCTGCTGAGTCATCTCTCCAAACCCAGATGACTCATTTCAAAACGATCCCCCCCACCAAGTCCCCAGCAGAGCTCTTTTGGCTCAAAATAGGGTCACAGAACATCACTAACCCCGACTCCCCACCTCCTGAAAAAAGAATCAATGCAAGTAACAAGCTAACTCATTCAAAAGCGAGATCAGCCACTATGAGGAATGTCATTAAGAAGTGTGTGTGTGTGTGTGTGTGTGTGTGTGTGTGTGTGTGTGTGTGTGTGTGTAGGGGGTGGTCTTTT